AAAATGTTTGTATTGTGATTCCGAAGGTGCCTCCCGTCTTTATTTTCGATACAAAATGTTATTTATTAACATAATTCGTTTTAATTAAAAGCACCTAATAATAATATCGTATATTGCCAGATAAAAGTTTGCCGTAATAAATTACCAGGCGCTTCGACGTGTGGCGTAAGTAATTTAGTGTTTTATACGTGTTTAAGTGACTATAAATGTGAATATGGGTAAAGAAATAAATGTTACCTAAGTGGTAAAACAAAGAGAGTTTATCGCATGAACGCTGCTCGAATGTTCTAAGTTTATTTTTGGGGTTACTTATATTTTTTGTAAGGTACTTTTTTGTTTGAGGCTGCCTAATAGGCTGCATTTTTACTCATTTACCAAGCTGATCATTTATACTTTTCTAGGCAAGTAAGAAACACTAAAAATGTAAATATCACGACCGAGTATGAAAAGAATGTACAGAGTAGTGCAAGCACAGAGAACGCAAATACTGTCATAGTCAATGTATTGTCCGAAAGCATAGGGTAAGTACATAATTAAGATAAACCGAAATACTTCGGATGTGAAGTGATTGACCAGTCGGAGTATTTTTGTGACAATTTACATACACAGTACCTATCCCCACTATGGGGCAATCACCGACTTTTTAGTGTTTTTTCTTTATTATTTATGCAATTTGCATTACGGCATCTTGTAAGACTCACAAGAACAAACATTTTCAGTTATATGAGGTTTTTACGTACGATGCACCAATTAAGAAAAAAAATCGATATCAATTCAATAACTTTTTGAACAATATTTTATAACGAATAAAGTACAGAATTTATAATCTATCGGAACTAATATTATAAATAAGAAAGATTTAATTAAGAAGTAAGCAATGCTCTCTGTGTTATTCATAACTCTGCATCCTAAGCTAGTTTTTTTTCTTTTTATGCATTAATATGAATTTCAGCTTTATTTTGCAACAATTCAATTCAGATTACCTAGATAACATGAATTAACATACTAATTAATTATTATTTATATACATTTGTAACTATATATAAAAAATATATGACATTCAGCTTAGAGTAGGTACCTATTATTAACACAAAACATTTAGATTTATTAACGTTCAATTTTTTCTTACGCCAATTTTTCAATTATTATTATTATACAATTATTTATTTAAAATGATAATCTCCTACTTTTGTATAAGGGGATTCAATCAATAGAGTAATATTTAATGCTAGAATGATGTAAATATTTTTTTTTTATTTTAATAAAACATGTAAATCTTATAAAATAGAAATTAACATCTAAAGGAAGGAAAATACTTAATATTCCTGTTTGGAAGTTCTGTAATCAGATAAAAAGGCAACTTACAGGCCGCCCCGCGTCCCTTACTACCTACATACAAAATATCATGGATATGCTAAGTATCTACTTATTGCATGAATCGTGAATACACAGACAGACAGAGAAAAATTGTGAGAAACACTAATTTGTCTCCAGTGCTCTTTATTTAGTCCCCTGGACTTGTTTTTTCAGAAAATATTAGAATTACGGACACGACTTTTCTACAGATTTATTATATGTATTTAAAGAGGGCTAATGCTAAGTATGAAGTAGGTATTTAACATAGCAACAATACAAATTTATTTTAACTTATTTAGCGGAAGTTTTTACAACATAGTCAGTAAAGGAAAGATGACTAAATTATGTATGTATGTATGTGCAAGCAAAAGAAATACAATGTTATAAAAACACTTTATTAATGTATTAGCTACAATTGTTATGTATCTTTACAATCTGTAGGTCGAGGAACGATGTCGACGTGTGTTGTAGATATTTCCATTTTAGTTAAACAAAAACATGTTTTAAAGCATTTATGTAGGTCCCATTGCGCAACATTGTGTAAAGGTTAAGGTTATTGAGCCTAGTGCCGAGGTCATACAGCGATTATACCATAATGACTATATCATCTTTATCGCAGTTACGTTGACTAACGTGTACTGAGTTTGTAGGAACCACCTCATATCGTCTCGTAGGTTTTGTAAGAGGCGATAGAACAAATAAGACCGGGATTGGGCCGCAGCACCTACATAATAACAATAATATATATATATATATATATATATTTATATTAATTTGGTTAGTTGTTATTGTTGCGCGCTATAATTAGCGCCCGGTTCATGGCGGGTGATTATTGGCACCATCTGGTATCAAGCAGCATAACTAGGAGCGTTAAGATCTTTCTAGAACTCTCTCACTAGCGCCATCTAGTATCGAATAGAAGAACTAAGTTTTATAGAAAATTCCATACTCGAATTTTCTACATCTTGTCGGTCTCGACCGGTATTTGCTGGAACATTCTAGATGTTTCGGTGGAAAAGGCCTATATAAAACCGTTTAGCGCCGCGACTGGGGCAGTATTGAATTGGCGATACAAGTGAAGACTTAGGAGCGAAATAAAGTGAACTAAAGTATTAAGTGTGATTAATTATTAGTGTGTATTAGTTTTCATTGATGTTCGGTAATTAAAGTGTCAATTTTGGTAATTCAATCGGCAGTTTCTATTGTCAAGAACCCTAAGCTCGTAACATTATTATGTAGGGTCTAACCGCCTGCCAAGCGTCGCTGTTATAGACAACAAACATGAACGAAAACATAAAGAAACGATTCCCCTCTATTAGTGTACGGTATTATTTTCTGGGGTAATTCTACAAACGTGCAACCAACATTTGTTCTGCAAAAGCGATGTCTGCGGATCATTTATAATAAGTTCTCAGATGAAACTCTAAGAAATGTATTTGTAGAAAGAGGCATTCTCACTCTCACTAATATATACATTTTAGAAATATCATTTTTTATCAAACAGAATGGCAACTATTTTCAGATTAAATCTAACGTAAATTCACGTCCAATACGCAGTAAATATAAGCATAATTTATATACACCTACAATTAATAATTATATGTATTATAAGAGCACCTTTTGCACAGGTATTAAAATATTTAATCATCTACCACCTGATATAAAAGCCACGGACTTGCCAAAATTTAAAATACAACTTAAGAAATGGTTAATACATATTTTTTTATAATTTAAATGAATATTTTAATATCTATTAAATAATTCATATCAAGTTTTGTATCTCAATTATTGCATACCCGATATGGGAAACCATGTAACATTTTATTGCAACATTTTATTGTAACATTTTATTGCGAGCTATGGAGAGGGCTATGCTCGGAGTTTCCCTGCGTGCTAAACTTAGAAATGAGGATATCCGCAGTAGAACGAGAGTGACCGACATAGCCCAACGGATTAGTAAGCTGAATTGGCAATGGGCCGGCCATATAGCTCGAAGAACCGACAACCGTTGAGGAAAAAAGGTTCTCGAGTGGCAGCCTCGTACCGGTAGGCGAAGTGTAGGGCAACCCCCCACTAGATGGAGTGACTACCTGGTAAGCCATGCAGGAATTCGATGGATGCAGGTGGCTCAGGACCGTGCTTTGTGGCATACCTTGGGGGAGGCCTATGTTCAGCATTGGACTTGTGAAGAGCTGTAATGATGATGATGATGATGATGATTCTGATGCCCAGTCTCTGGCGGGGCTGCTATTTCTGGCAACAGTTGCGACGATGGACGGCGAGACGGGGGTGCTAAGAATCTCCGGCAGATGTTGGTTACCACCTTCGATGACACGATCTGGTAACGTTTAACATACACTGCATGAGGTCTGATGATCCTCTGAATCGATGAGAAGATCCCGGAGCTAGAAGAAGAGATAGACAAATTGTGCTGGAATATTATAGAATCTTCTGAGATCGAAACAGAAGGCAGGACTCGGTAATCCACCGGCAACTTGTATAACGGCGACTTGTTGAAGATTAGGCAAGAGTTGCGTACCTCATACTCTAAATCACCAAAGGGTAAATCGTTGAAGATCATGGGGTTTTGCAACAAGCTCGGCACATCCCGATAAGGAGATGGAGAAGGTGTATAAGGATATCTCTAAAGGCATGTATTACACCAAAACCCCACTATTGTGTGTTGATTGAAGTCTTCAACCCAAAACTAAGCTTCGCTTTCTCATGTACCTCGTAAACCCGAAAACTATCAACTTGGATAACATCAATCGGTTTCAGTGCCTGGAAGATCACAAAACTGCGGATAATATAAATAACAAGCCCGTGAAAACTGTCCATAGTGTCGGAGCTAATTCTGGAAGATCCTTTGCAGAACGCAATATCTTTCCGATCTCATTCCCACGGCTGGTAAACAGGAAATGAAACTTTCAACAGATATGACAGCGTACAGGCCATTGAACACACAGGTCTCTAAATGAATGTGGCGACACACATCAATACAGCTCGCATTAAAGAAGCGAACGAAGAGAACTAAGGCATAAAAGTCTTCGCTAGAGTTCTGTCAGCTAGTAAAAGCCAACTAATGTTAACATCGACTGTAGTAAAATTCCTTCAACCATCACGTGTCATAGTAGAATACAATCGTAATATCAGACGTCTTTGGGGTGACATCGGTACATAGTTTATATAAGATTATTTAAGAAATTATTTCAAACTGATTCAAGACAAAACGTTATTTACGACTTGCATTAATTCGTAATCGTTTCTTATTTCATCGAATTAGGTACAGATAAGGAAATTTTATTAAAGTACGGATATTCCAATTGCAGCGATTTCAGCGATTATTTCAGCAGATAACAATTGACGATAATTTGTAAACAGCGATGCTAGTACAATTAGTGGATTCGTGATCGTGAAAGAAACTACCCGTTGCGTTGTTGAAGACAATCAACAAAGCTGTTATGGTTTTGGCTCGAGTTGGAATGTGTTATAGTGGCTTGTTATCAAATAGCGCGTTAGCGAATGTGATGCTGTACAGTTTGATGTGTGACGACTTCGTTCAATTCTAATTGTAATTATTGACCGACTTCCTATATTATTGTAAACTTCAGTATGGTTCAGTGCGGGGAAAGTTTTTTAACATCATGTACGTATTCAGACTGTTGACTGTGATTATTTATTTGTCTTGGATTATACCGATTGCGGAGCTGCATGGTGCGCAGGTAACTTTTAAATATCTTAAATAAACAACGTTCGTTTTGAGTCAGTAGTAGCGTTTTAAGAATATCCAAAACCCCATACCGTCCCTTGGATGCAAAAGGCGAAAGATGGCAAAAACCAGGAGATGGACACCATGGTCTTCCTGATAATAACTAAAAAATAAACAAACTGAGTTACCAACTCACGTACCATCCACGAAGTGCGACCACGATGGCATATATCCCTCTATGAGGCAATCTAAGGGAAGGCCAATGTTCAGCAGTGGACTTTCAATAGGCTATAATGAATTAAATAATGATAACGACTTCTTTTACAAATGGCAATGATTTGTTTAGGTACTTTAAGAAAAAAAAACTAAAAACTTACTCCAGATTTACTATCCACTTTCAAATGTTTTTTTTTTTAATATTGATTTCACGTAGTTTGCATTTTACCCGACGGCCAAGGAAGGGTTATGTTTTTCGCGCAATCTGTACCTATGTTAGTAAATTTCTTTATTACCTCGTATCTTCCAAACGGCTGGATGGATTTCGACAATTAAATTATCGTTTTATTGGTCTTAATAACCCAATCGTTCTAGCTTTTGTTGCGTTGCGCAAAGTAATATAAAATAGCTGGCTATTTAACTTAGGATTTCAGCTCATAATATAGTCTGTTAAACAGAAGTAAAATTTACTTTGTTTATAATTTTTTTTTGATTTTGCTTTCTTTATTTAATCTTGTTCCCGTTGCATTTTGAATGATAAAAGTAATAAGGTAGATATAATATTTTTATGTTTAATTCTGTTAAAAATAATAGCTAAGTTGCTTGTAATTCACTAATATTTTAGCATTAATAGTCAAATGTTTGTAAATATATGTACCAGAGTGCTTTATTTACAGATTCTGTAACAAATAATATGACGACAAAACATTCCGTTTATGAGTTAGGCCCGCCAAATACAAATTCTAATTCTAAAAGTTACTATAGTCTGGTGGATATACTGGTCATGCATTGGTTACTGACATATCATACGGAAACTGACTGACGTCATGGTTACACAGTCAGTAAGCTTTTGGCTGCATCGATGTGGAACGCACATTTGAATCCCGCACTGAACTGAAGGGTCTGGATTTTTGTCCATGACGTGTAACTCTCATTTACGTAAAACCTGCAGTTCTACGCCATGAAAGAAATTTCTAGTGCAGGATAACTTTAAAAAAATGAACATTGGAAATATAAATGTAATGTTTCTCTTTTAGGACTCCACGTATTTAAAAGAGATTCTTGATCCTGCGAAAGAAGATCTGAGCATTTGGTACACGCGTCAACCCAGAATTGCCCAGAGAACTAACGAACAGCTGACCTGCGAAAAACCAAACGTTTACATTTGCGAGGCAAGTTTTCTTTATGGTTTCTATATTCAATTTTCTTAGAACTAGAAGAAGAAGAAGAATCCTATTTTTGATTACCTACTTCAAACTACGTTTATTTAATATCAGCGTATTACCGTGTAGTGGCGGTGGTATAAGAACGTCCACTACTTCACATGATCCGTGAGTGTCGTAAGAGATGACGAAGGAAACAAATCAGGAGAAGGGCAGCAGCATCTTCCTAATAACCTCTAATAATAAAAATATCTGTGGTTGCCATCCCGCTTGCCAAGCGTGGCAAATATCTGCCCCATGAGGCAATCCACAGAAATCGTAATAATAAGACAATAGAAGTTGCATAGAACGCGTGAACTTGTCGCCACTTACATGGGTTGACGAACATAATTCACCATTTTGTGATTTAGTTGTGCGGGGAACGTCGTAGTACACGAATTTTTGTTATTATAAATTTATAATGGTGCACTGCGACATATTCAGTAGTAAAAACTCATCAAGGGCGTGTAATTAAACTAATAAAGGCATAACATTTCATCAGTAAGTTGATTATTTACCAATTATTTATCATTGTTTTAATTAATTTACATCTAAATGAATACTTTACTATGACATTTACCTTTGCAAACTTATTTATTACTTTTCGTATCGTACAATTACCATTGCTGCTTTTGTTCTACCGTAATACGCGACACACGCGACGTTGACAAACTCGCCGAGCAATGTAATGTGAACATGAGATATAATTGTGCATTGAGTATATTTATTATACGGTAATATGTGGCGACATCGGTTGTGGAAGTAATCGAGCGCTAATTCATTTCTATTATCTTATTATTACGATTTCTGTGACGCAAACTATGGGGAGGCCTCTGATCATCAGTGGACTTTTGATAAGCTGTTACGGTAACGGTAATAAGCATATTATTTCAAGTAACATTATGAGTTTCATAAGAAATGCATTTTTCTCTTAGGAACCTCCCCAAACAGTCGCTGCAGATGAGGGCAAGTATTGCAACTATCGCAACGTGTGGTACCATGAGCAGGTGTACCGCTGGGTGGCTGGCAGAGGATGTCTTCTTTACACGCCAGATTTTCTTTACGTCGAAGGCTATAACACCATTAACTTGACCGTTGGCTGCTTTTACGGGCCTTGGTTTGCACCTTGCTTGGAAATCGTTAGTAGACAAATATTACTACGTCAGTTAATTAAATTTTATATTTATGTAAAATACAAAATTATGTTAGAAGAAAATATACAAATATAACAATTATTATAACTAACTAGATGGTACATGGCGCGTTGCTGCTGCAGAAAAAAATAATTGTAGAAATATCGTTTTAAATTTGGAAGAGATATTATTGTTTCATTAGGAATAATAATACATTAATTGAAAATGAATGATATATAACTTTGAAATAAATTTGTCGGTGCAATACGCGCGCCATTTACTGTAAGTAATTGCATACGCCTATAACCTCCGCGCATGTGCAAACAATGAATTGACAAAGTATTGTCGCAATTTGATGAACGGTATGGCAGTACATAAAATAGGAACAAACAAACATTAATTAAATGTTATAATTTGATATTATTATGTTAATAATACAATTTTCTATTTTAGAAAACAAACACGTTCAGCAAAATAATTTTAAGCTTATTGCAGGCTAAAGAAGATGGCACATGTGGCTGTTACCCTTTTGACCCTGGTTTTGAGGAAGTGGCTAACACAGTACGTGAGGCATTAATACCTTCAGCGCATGGACGTTGGGAAAAATGTTTTTACACGGCAAGCGATTGCTGCAGCCACGTAATGACAGGAAACAGGAGTACAGGTGATTAGTTGAAGCGCTCACACAAATATTATCATATTTATAAGTGGTAGGCAAAGGTGAGAATGACTGACTAATGACCGCCGCTGTGTTAGTACTATTGTCTTAGACAAAAAGTAGTTTAGAGAATTACATAATTTTGGCTGAACGATCGTCGTCAATAAGTTATAATATAATATAAATAGCGATCCGCCCGGCTTCTCACGAGTGATATCGATATTGAATAAAATAAATAAATCAATTAAAAACTATCGAAATTAAAATAATACGTACCTAATTAGTAGTATTTATTGATTGATCAATTTCATAATTTTATGTTAATGTAAAAAACTTTGTTAAATATCAGTGCCATAGGCTTCTATTCCGTTCACCTGTTACACCCTATTTTTTTTCAGATAGTAAAAAAAAAACATCCAGTATATGTGTATTCTATTGAATTGATAGATTTTGTATTCCATAGTATATATACCTCTACATTATCTGACGAATGATAAAGAGCAGCATTAATTTTTCATTTAATTATCATTTTCAATTATTATTTGCTTTTTCACAAAGATTAGACTCTGTCATAAATTGCTTTATAATGATCGATAAAACATTGGTTTTGTTTAAAAATCATGGATTAAAAATGGAAATTCCAGTAACAAAGACAATAAAACCATCTTCAATTACATAGATAATGTTTTCAAATGCTACATTTTTATAACGAAATGCCTTATCAAATATTATCTTTTTTATTTCTCCATACAAAGATAGGTACCTTACATTAGGTACATTATTATTACAATTCTGTCGCCAAAGAGCAATCAGTTTGTCGGCGAGTACATGCTCTTGAAACTATATATTATTATGCACCATCACCTAAACAAATACGAAAGAAGATGAAAATAATCTAAGTTGCCGAGTACAATTACATCGTATTTAATAATAATAAACGCGCTCACCGTGCATTATCGCGAAGAGTGCAGCCTCCGTAATTACTTCATGACGAGATCAGATGATCCATTCTATAAGGACTTCATTTATTGTGATAAAGGGCTTACCCCTCTATCCTCGCCAACGAGATATGGAAAGACAGAACATTTCCGACCGGGAGAAAGAGCTCCTACAAATCGAGGTTCTACAAGGCTCTACATGAGCCTTTTATGGATATAGTTGTCTCCCTCCACCGGCTACGTTTCGGTGACCTCTTTAGGGAAATTAAGGGTTTTGTCTATGCGATGCAGGATTAGGTTATTGAGACCATCAACTAGATATTATACATCCGAAGAGATGGCACCATCGACATCTGACGAGCTTGTCGCCATCCCGATGATTCACTTAGGCATGTCATCTCCGGTTGTTCGGCGCTTTCTAACTCTGAGTATTTGCACAGACACAACGTAGTAGCCAGGATTTTACACCAGGAAGTCGGTCTGAAATACGGTCGCGTGGATCAGAAATTGCCTTATTACAAGTACTTGCCGGAAGCCGTGCTCGAAAACGACCGCGCCAGGCTCTACTGGGACCGGGTCATCATTACAGACAGGACTATTCTTGCGAATAAGCCTGTTAATGTGCTGATGGACTGGGCACAGACAAGGATATTTTGGTAGATATTACCATTTCGTATGACGACAACCTCGTGGAAGCCGAAACAGATAAGTAAACAAAATATAGACCTGGCTCATGGTGACCGACATGTGAGATCGTTTGTCAACCGAAATTATTCCTGTAGTCGCCTCTGCGAACGGGTTAATCCCGGTCAGCCTCTCTGGTCATCTGAGGTGACTGGAAGTCTGTGACGGACCCGGACCGCTCCGGGCGCAAGTGCAAGGCGGTGCTCCGCGATGCCACGGGCATCGTCCGCCGGTTTCTTTCCCTTTCTCCCTAACCCTGGGCCGTTTGTGTTCCCCTGGCGAGGGCTCCCATCTGGTTGGACGTTTATGTCCATGTTCATCTTAAGACCTATCCGTTGGGAGGCACTATTGAGGTCATTGAGCATAGTGCTTAAGTCCTCTAGCGATTCTGCCATAAGGACCATATCGTCGGCAAATCGAAGGTGAGTGATGTACTCGCCATTGATGTTAATACCGTATCCTTTCCAGTCCAGTAGCTTAAAAACGTCTTCCAATGCAGCGGTGAAGAGTTTCGGGGAAATAACGTCACCCTGTCTTACACCTCTCTGCAGTTGGATAGGTTTCGTACTCTGGTTCTGTACTCGGATAGCCATCGTAGCCCTACTGTACAAACAGTTCAGCACTTCGATATACCGACAGTCAACTTGGCACAGCTGAAGAGACTGTAGCACCGCCCAAATTTCGACGGAATCAAAGGCTTTCTCATAGTCCACATACGCCAGGCAAAACGGCAGATTGTACTCTTCGGACTTCTGTACAATTTGCCGAAGGGTATGTATGTGGTCTATAGTACTAAAGCCTTTTCGGAAAGCGGTTTGGAAGGGATATCGGTCTGTAGTTTTTCAAGAGGGCGTTGTCACAAGTAAAAATAAATATTTATTATTTAGTAATAATTAAATGTTATAGTAATAAGTGAAACCTTTTAATGTCGTATATGTTGTTGCAGAGTCCTCATACACAGAGTCCAACTCATCTTTGATTTATGTAGGCGTATTGCCTTTCAAAAACGAAATATAATGATAGCTCATTGAATAAAAACTAAATTTACGGATTTTATCGCGTTTATTTCACTACTTTTACTTATTTTTAATTCCCGACGTTTTGGGTGCTTTACAGCAACCATGGTCACGGGGGGGGACTGAGATGTTTGACGTCCCAATGTCATAGTTAGTCCGACTACCTTCAGTTTTTGAATATTAATTTTTGGTCCGATTTACGCAAAACGAGCTTATGATACTATAAGCTCGTTTTGCGTAAATCGGATTTAGTTTTTATTCAATGTGTAGTGTTCGCGTAAATTTAAGAAATCATTATAATGATAGCTCGATACTCATTTTTTTCCATTTTCACAAAAACTCAAAGGACTGTCCAGATAACAACTATGCGTCCAAAATAGCTGAAATGTTGGTGCGTAACTGTTAAAAGATACACAACCACATTCATTAGCTTTTACTGACGAGTGCTGCCATCTTCACGTTGATGTCGGAAACTCGGCAGGAGAAGAATTCAGTGACTTAGTGGTTAAAATCTGAATATCAGTAAAATATTTCTCAAAAACCATTGCTACATCTTGATCTGATTTAGTTAATTTGTTGTTAAAACTTAACTGGTAGTTTGAATTGCGAAAATTATTACCAGTTTCACTATTAACTATAAGTACTTCATGTCATTTTAATTTTATTAGAAGCCGTCTTTATTTTGTTGCTCAAATACAAAGACTTGGCTTTGGAGCAATTTTTTTTAAATATTTTTGAATATTTTTTTACATATTATCTAGACCTTTATCTCCCTCGACGCTAGGATTATATGACTTTCATTGTAAAGTTCATATAATATTTGTCTACTCTTATGGACTTTTACCCATTCATTGAATGCCTTACGATTGTTCAAGGAGAATGTTTTAGTAGTAAAAGTATTATCAAATTCATTTCATAATGTTCCATAGAAAAAATCTGGATTATTTTGGTATGAAAGTGATGGAAGTTTTTTACATGTTACTTCTAAACTTCTCCAAGCGACGTGCATTTATGGAACAAACACAACTTTTTCATCTACTTGCTTTTTTGTGAACATAAGGTAACGGAGCTAATTGTCCACAGTGATTAGAGCTCAATTTTTAAATTATACGTTTATGGAACGGCTAAACGTTTGTAAAAATGTTATTCATATCGATACCTTTACAAATAACTATGTCTAAATTAGACACGGTTATTTGTAAAGGGTTAATAACTCATCGGCGATGATTCTTAGATAGGCTGCGCTGCGCTGCAATAAACATTATTTGTGTAAACGAATGTTCCCATTTATCTCCCAAAGGATTGGACCGATTTAGATACGGTTTCCTGTAAAGGGTTTGTGACTCATCGGCGATCGTTCTTAGATAAAAGTCATGGTATTAAATATTACCTAATAAGTAGGTGAATATGTATAGTACCTAAGTAAATTTGATATTATTGCTGTGTTTATCGCTGCGACATACAAATAAGGCAGAAAAGGAGGAACGACTAAGATGACGGACCTCGCGACAAATCAACCCCTTTTAAAACATATTTTTAATTTTTATCCTTCGAGACCTATTTTCTTATAGTTGGGGGTTTTTCAAAGATTTTATTTAAAAAAGGATTTTTCGATTACAACCGTTATCTGTCGTGGGTTTTTTTTTAATTTTTAATTTTCATGTTCATACAAACCTGAGAGACACTTCGTTTGCTCGATTTAACATAATTCTATTATTATTTAGAAAATTAATGCTACATCTATGCTTTATACATTCTATTTTCTTAGTAAAGGTTTTTGAGAATTCACTACATAATATATTGTACATATTCAATTTACCGAGATATTTCAAGATAAAGCAAACTAAATTATCAAGATAAAGTAAACTAAAGTAGGTTTACGGCGTCCTATCCACATATTGATATTTTCCCATATTTCTAAGTTATTTTTGATAGAAAAATTATTGTACACTTAATTACAAAATAGTACCCTACCATACGAGTATATGGTAATTTATATTTCTTAAACAGCTTTATAATATTTTGATGCTTCTGGTGCAATACACTCTAATTACTACATACTTTTTTTACAATATCGTTTGACGAGACGTAAGGAAATAAACTAATGAACAATGGACATGGAAAAATTATTGCCGTGTTGTGAGGTTGAAAGAGAATTTATCGCTCCATTTCGTCTGAATGTGGTAAAAATAATGGGGGTTTTTTGATTTGGTGAGGGGGTTGGGTGTATTGCGTGCTTAAAGATAATATTCTTTGAATTGATGATGTCCTATTGTAAATGAAATTTGGAAATTAGGACCATCTTCCCAGGCCATCCGATTCTCTGAAAAAAAAAAGGGAACAATATGCCAGCGATTATCCTTCCTATTTTTACTTCCAATTACAACTTGGGCGTCTTCAAGACAAATTAAATAAGATTTCGTATAACAAAAGATTGCGCTTTATCATCTTCTGCTAAAACGCACTTGCCATCGGGTGGGATATTAGTCAATTACTGGCGCATTAAAAAAATCTTGAGTTTTATCTTAGTTACTTTTTTGACTATTATGTCTACTTATAACTCTTTTTTATATACAAATTTACATACATATCAAAGTAAAAGAACACAATATTTATCTATATCCAATTACATGCTTTTAGATCAAAACCAATGTGAAGCTACCTTCGACGGCTGGACTTGTTGGGAGCCTGCGGAATCTGATACCGTCGCTAGCGCCATTTGTTCAGAATTCGCATATTCTAATGAAGGGCCCACATGTCATCGTAAGTTACATAATATTTATTACTACAGAAAATTTATAATGTATTAGTTAAATTTTTTTTTATTTTCACTTTCATCAATATCATCAGCTTTCTCAAGCGCTCTATTGGACATATGCGGGTTCTTCCAGGAATGCTTTTAGTTAGTTATTACGAATTTTTTGGTGAGCGCAGCGTCATTTAAATTAATAAATTAGGTATTACTGTACCGCATTACCAGTTTCTGGAACTTAGATTCGATGGTCAGACATCGTATGTATACAGCAGCATTATACGATTTCAGCTTCTGTTTAGAAATAACGTCTTGACATGGAAATATACGTACCATCCGCCAGCTTTCGGTACAGCAGCTTTTAGTGGATCACTGCTATAGACATGAGTGCAATTAGCATTGGTGTATGGTCACTAGTTATTTCTTTAAAATATCACTGTGCAATGGATTTCTAATCTTCAATTGCTTAAGAAATGTTTAAATTATTAGATTTCAGCAACAAACAATGTTTCGCGAATGGCACCTGGGAGCTGCAAACCGACTACAGCACGTGCAGCATAACCCCGCGGCTGCTGCGTCGGTACCGCTTGCACATCGCCGTGCTGGCCCTGTCCATTGTTTCCTGCCTGCCCGCAGTGTTCGTTTTTTTCTTCTACAAGCGACTGAGAGTGACACGAGTAGCGCTGCATAGAAACTTACTCATTGCTATAATTATCAGGAATATCCTCGTTATTATCAGTAGAAGCGAGGTAAGCTTATCACAAATATTTTATACACAAAAAACTATTAGACTATTATACTACTAAACCTTTCTGGGTAAGACAAACCATCCCAATGTATCCTATACCTAAAATTTTTATATATATATATATATATATAATAGGAATCTCGGAAACGGCTCTAACGATTTTCATAAAATTTAGTGTCCAGGGGGTTTCGGGGGCAATAAATCGATCTAGCTAGGCTTAGTTTTTAGAAAATGTCGTTTTGTCCGTGTTTTTAGCCAATGAAAAACTGCTACAATATAAGAAAGTAAATTTTGGCAACGTATTAATGATCGTAATAGCTGATGTGGGATATACGGCGGTGGCGAAATCGAGGTGCCCTGGTTCAGTCCTGTCTTCGGTCCGACTTCTTTTCCTTTTTTTTTTCTTCAAGTTCCCTTCTTCTGTGAGAAAAACTATTATTTCGAGCCCTTTTTTAGTTTTTTTTTTAAAAACACGAAATTTTAAATTAAACTAATTGCACTCATGAGTTTTTATTCAAATAACCAGTTCAGTTTTTTCTATTATGTCAATAAGATCAAAAAATATTAATTATGATTCATCAGTATGTATATTGTATCTAATATAATTTCCAAAACACACGATAATATGTCAGAAAATACAGAAGAAAGCTCGGTCATCCAGGTACTTATTTACTTAATATACATAGTTCCGTAAGTTAGTGTGTTAGAACTGTAGGTCAAATTCAATTAACTTTATGCAAGGTTATTTTTCCAGGAGTAGCCAAATATTAAACTTAAGTTCAAATATATAAATAATGATATACCGTTATTTTAGTTTTTGGAAACACGAGTAAATAAGGCTTCTACTTTTATACGAAATTAATCTTGGTATTATATACATTTAATGGTGGTAGAGCTATTCTGCAGCTATATTAGTAGCATGGTTGTAGCATGAATGGGGTCGGCTCGACCGGGGAAGGACCACGCTCTCACAGAATACTAGCTTAAAATAGTACCTTAACGCTGCTGTATTTCGTATGGTGGGTGTAGAGAACCGAGGACCCTTTCTACTGGAAATGAGGCATTCCATCTTAACCCTGACGGGTGACAACGCATCTTCATTTCGGTTTGTGATCGAGGATTGATGTAGATGTCTATGGGGCGCAACCACTTACCACCAGGAGGACTCTGTGCTCGTTTGTCACCCTTATTCTATTAAAAATTTGGAGATGAATTAAGGTGACTAATTACCAACTGCTGGAAATTTTTATACAACCACATTTTTTGAAAAATCTACCTAAGTACGTGGGTGATGATGATGTCCTTTAAACTTAAAGCCTCGACGCTTATACATAATTATAATGACTCCATACCTTTTAAACTGTAATATATTAGTGAATGTTGTAAGCAAAAAAGCTGCCTCACCGCATTGCAATGTTCATAATAGATGTGGAAAATCGTGAATGTAAATGGTTTCACATAAACATTTTTGTGTCATAATATCTTTTAATGTTTTAGTTACCTCCTAAGTGGAGTTTATTTCGTAATAATAATAATAATAATTGGTTGGATGTTATTTATTTATGTAGTTTTTGTATTTATTTTATTTTATTGATATTTATGTACATTTATCTTTTCATTTTAATTTTTTTGCCAGGGAGAAATTTATGATCCTATCTTTATTGATAAACATATTACATGCACAAAATTTACAGTGGTCATCAGCCCCTAAACTAGGGCATAATACCTGTGTTTCAGGGGTTAGTTTTCTTCCCTATTCTTAGTTCTATTACTATAATTTGTTTATCTATGTATTATATTTATAATGTTTAATAGATAATAATGTTTGTGGCGTATTTGTGCAATGTATGTTTCTTTTGTACTTTGTTCTTTTTCCCAGGTTTATATTGACGAGCTCACGAACTCGGGCGACACCGTGATGTACAGGCACGAGGTGGCGTGCCGCCTGCTCGCGGTCGCCGAGCGCGTCGCCGCCAACTGCGTGTTCGTGTGCATGCTGGTGGAGGGCGTGTACCTGCACAGGCTCATCGTTGTAGTATTCCGGAAGAAGCTCAAAGTAAGGTGGTTGTACGGAGCTGGTATCGGTAAGTTTATAATTCAATAAGCCTTCACACAAACATGCGCTTGCGCGTAGACGGCCTCTATTATGCAAGTACGCTGAACTGGCTATACATCGTGACATAATGAGGCGATTTGATTTTATCCATTTTGGGGCTGATAGCAGAAGTGAGCGTCTACGGAACAGATAGAGATAGGACAGTGTGACAAAACATATCGATACAATTTCTATATCCTGGCCTACCATTCTATTTATGTATCATTTTAATGTAATGCCATACAATGAATAAATGTATCAATTAATACTTATGTCTCACACAAGCTTTACACCTCATATACAACAAAAATCGACGCTGCATCAGTTTATCTACGTTTTTCTTCGTAACTTTTCAAATATCTATAGTCCACCTATAGATATTAGAAGTCTACAAACTTTAGATTACACTAAAGAATATGATACAACGAATCATTGACGTCATAATCAATTTGCTTTCATAATTTGCAAAATGATCGTTGTTTTGCTCAATAAGTCTAAGAGTATTTTAAAGTTTAAAACGAGAAAAGTGTGTGTTGTGTAGTTCGGTTACGTTTCTTAGTAGTATAATAATAAGTATTTTTAATAACAATATTAATGTAAAATTCGTTACCAGAAGGGAAGTTTGGTTACCACAAATAAGAGGATTAACAGTTTACATTAAAAATTTAAAACGATTTGATAATATAGGCTCTTAAAAAAAGTCACATTTCTTATTAAATATAATTACTAAAATGTTTGGCTTTATATTACCTATATTTGATAAACAATAAAATTCAATAGAGTTGACGAGTTCCTTGTCGATAACATATATCAATATTTTTCCTACCTATATCTGTTTCACCAATGAAACAATCATAGCGATTCATCCCTGAGAACAAATAATTATTAAATATTTATTAATTTAGAGATTTTCAACTGACTCACTAAAACTGTGACTAAAATGCATAAAATTTGTGAATTCCTGCTGTGCGGGTAGTAGTCCCGTGAACCCCTGCCCACGATGTTAGCCGCCTCCGCAGAATTTTAATTTAATTCGTAAAGGGAGAAAATGAGATTTTTTTATTCACTGTAGATTACTACACGATACTTATTAAAAACCTATCTTTTACCACTGATTCGGAAAACATCATTGTCCTGAGAAGAACCAGAGAGAAACCTAATGAAATTATTACTAATATAAACGTAAAATAAAATACAACGAACATAAAATAAAAAATAATATTTTCCAATACCTACATATTTATATGAATTGTAAAAGAATCAAAAGAATCAATTTCCAGGGGTTAATTTCTAAAGATAAAGATAAAGATAAAGATATTTTATTTTGCAAATATGGGTACATACAGTACATGGAAATATTGGTAGTGAGTTCAGCCATATTTTACCAGTAGGCATGCAAAATATACAGAAATATAAACTAATCACCAAAACAGCTATAACAAAATAAAATAATAACACAAAAACAAACATAATTCAAATTTTTAACATTATACAGTCTTAATCTCAAAATATTTTTTTTTCAGTCAACGTTACGCTTATAGTATGCTTTGACTGTCAAGAAGCTACGAAGCCTTTTTTAAAATATCGATAGCGGCAATTCTTTCCAACTTTTTGGTATTTTATCATATATAACTGGAGCCATGCAGTATATACTTTTACGCATTAGTGCTGTCTTAGCGGATTGATGACACAAAAGGGTATTGTCGCGTCTATTACGTGGAACTACTTGGCCAAGGCGTTTAAAATGTTTTGGATGCAATTTAACAAACACTGCTACTTCTAGTATTTATTATATATTTATATATTTCATTCTTGTATATTCCTTAATTCCTATATCTATTACATATATAAACATATATAATAAATCTGTAGAAAAAATATTTGTTCACGATTCACGCAAAAACTACTGGACTGATTTGCATGAAATTTGGTTTATAGGCAGTAAATGATGATTTCTAACATATAGGCATCTTTTTATTTGTTTACGGAAGACTAAAAAAGAATGGTTATGTTTTTCTTTTTTTAAGTTTATTATCATAATAATAGTTGTGGTGCTCCTATTAGGCGTAAAAAGGTTTTAGCTATACGTATTACGTTAAAGAGTCTATAGAAAGTTGTGAAAATGAAACTCTTCGCGTAACCAACCAGAAAGGACTGAATAACGTCTCCCAAGCCAGCTAGTATCATAATAATCCTTTTTAAACAGTTTTTGTAAAAAATATTTTTTTTTAATTTATTGATAAGCAATGAACATTTTCTGGGATTTGATGTAAAAGCCCATTGCCCTTAAATTAACTACTAATTATGTGGAGTTTGGCATAACGAGCTTGTGTTTGTTCCTAGTATTAAAAGTAAGATTACCTATCTTTCTTCTAATCAAAACTTTTCATGATTTTACGTTTTCATAAATATATTGCGAGGCTAAAGCTAATATTTGTTTCAATAAACTTGTTTTAAGAATTTTTTTATAATTTAAGTTATTTATAAATTGCCCTTAATCTTTTGCAAAACAATAATAGTTTCATAATATTTTTATTGAAATAAAACTTCTTTATCGAGGTAGTGGAGAAATTTGGTACGGTATTAAAAAAGGTCACGTTTTCTTGTAACTTTTAAGCTTGTTGTTGCTTGAGGCTGTCCCCTACAAGACAGAGTAAATAACCAGAATGACCCAGAAATTGAGCCCTGAGGCACATTCATTGATACTACCGACCCGAAGGAACTCTTACCATTGATAAGGCCACGTTATTTCTGTTATTTAAAAATGAAATAATATGTTTTACCGCAATATATTTTATACCATAATTTTGTAGTTGTTTGATTATTTTCTCGTAACGAACACAGTCTAAGGCCTTGGAAAGATCACACAAAATACCTAGGTACATACCTAATGCATCTTGAAAATTCCGCCACGCATTATAAATATATTTAATAAGCGTTATACCAGCATTTGTTATCGAGCGACCCCTAGTAAAATCAAATTATTTTTATAGAGTAATTATCTATTTGTATTAAAAAACCTTAATATTTTATCCAGATTTGGTAAAATTTTGAAAAAAGAATCTAGTATCAAATGTTAAGTTTTTTATTACTTAGTAAATTAAAAAAAGTGTTGCCAGTACAGAAATAGGTCTAAAATTAGGGTCTAATGTGTCACCAGGTTTAAATACAAGTTTTGTTCAGCAGGAAACACACCAGATGCGACATTATTAATAGACAAGACAATCAAAACGTATAAGGATGCAATAAATGCCACGGAAATCCCTCTATAAATCTGCAGTTTTTTTACATCAATAGATTTAAAATATTTTACAATATCTTGTAGTAATGCTTTATGAAATCAAAACTCTTTTATATTTTCCTATCGCAGTAATTAGCTCCGTAAGAATAGATATGATAGATGCATTAAGATAGAGAAACACGTTGATATGGCATACATTATGTATAATTAAGGAATGAAGAATTGTCTACATTTAATAGTAAACTATAACGATGGGCACTAATTATAATGCACGTGTTATAGTATATTACTATCCTCCTACTAAACGGCACTCGTAATACCAAACAAAACCAAAGATTTTTATATTGAAAACAAAACCAAATGTACAATTTGAATACGGCCACAGGTGGGCATAGGCCTCCTCTTCTCTCATTCCTGAGAGGGTTATGGAGCACTTAGTCGCGCTGTGTAGAAACAGAAACGCAAAGAGAAACTTTTTTATTCAAAATAGATTATAAACAATACTTATTGAAAGTCACTTTTTTCATTTACCACTGGTTCGCAAAAAAACCTCTGTCCTGGGAAGAACCAACAAGAAACCCAGCGGGACTAATTTTTTTTTCAAATAATAGCTTACAATCATGTTTACAATTAACAACACAAGACAAATTAGAAATAGCTTGGTAGCGATGACCTAGCGGTATACGATGACCCATCCCAGGGGTTATTATCATCCATAAATTCCTTAATATTATAATAACCCTTTTTATACAAACTTAGTTTAATAAAATGTAGTTATGTAATTATTAAAATATTTTATTTTTTGGACATGCAGGTTCCCAAACGACGTTTTCGCACGTGCGTTCAGCATTTAAAACTTCAATTAACAATTTTATTTGTACCGGGAGTATCAAACTATACTGTATAACATTAGCTGAAATTCTTTTACGTGTTAATTATAGACATACGTTTTTTTTAATCACATCGAATGCCTCCGTTCGTGATTGCTGTTTCAGTTTTCAAGAATTCTTTTAAAATTATCTTCGTTTATTTGATTAGATTAGATATAAAAAAGCGATAACAATCAAACTGATTATGTCTCAAAAAATCTTGCTTCCGGTTCGTGTTACATCAAAGTGAAAATGTTTCACATTATCTTCAGCCTATAGAAGTTCACTGTTGGACATTGGCCTACGAGTATACAATTGTGGATTTTCCGGATACGCGTGCTTGACAGGCGGATCGGATTGACGATCGCCGAGTGACATGTCAGACATATAACACACTACACTTTGTCGCTGCCACGTGAGTACTTATGTAACGCTGCTGTCCGTCGCCGGTGTGGATATTTTACATCTGACGTAAACGATATGGTATAACATCACTTATCAGAAAGCAAAAAATTTTTTTGGCATTTCCCACAGCCGCATCTTACCACACAAACGGAACAGAATGGGGTGATGGACTGTCTCACGCCGCCACATCATGACCATATGTTGATAAATATATTGATAAACACCTGCTTTTTTGTGGAAATTATAAAAAAAAATTACACATAAAGTTACGTTACGTGACAGAGCCACGTTACATCTATATTATGGTTGTAGCACGAATAGGTCGGCTCGACCGGGCAAGGCCTACGTTCTTACAGAATACCAGCGTAAAATAGCAACGTAATACTGCTGTTTCTGTTTCGTGTGGTAAGTGTAAAAAAGTATTGAAGACCCTTTTTACTGGAAACAAGGCATTTCATGTTAGTCCTCAGGGGTGACAACGCATCTGCATTTTGAGCCGTAATCGGGTATAAATGTAGATGTATATGGGCCACAGTATTCACTTACAATTAGGCTGTGTGCTCGTTGTCTCCCTTATTCTATAAAAAAAAAACGTTAAAGCCCCCTTTTGTAATGTAAGAGACAGAATACCTATGGTCTCAGTTTATATACTCTTTAGTCTTAATTTATATAGCGTGACGGGATGTTTAACCTGTAGATTTTAATGTATAGAAGAATGAAAGTTTTGTGATATATTATTCAGTAGAGGGTTGAAAAAGTTTTCATACAGCGTAATATAGAAAAACTCTGTGTGGCATAGGTATAGGTACAATATAAAAATAAATGGGAAAAAGGGTGGTGGTCGAAGAAATGATTCCTTACAAATATTTAATAATAATGTCCTCCAGCCAGACTTTCGGTCACAGTGGCCTGTCCCTATCGAGACGGGCCATCGGCGAAGGAAAGGATTATAGTGCTCGAGTTTATACGCAAGCACCGCACCGGTGCAATCTCTATTCGGTCTCTGCCACACCCGATGGGACATAAAGCCGACATGACCGGCGCAGGACCTGCGTCTTGACGTGTTTTCTGAGGCACTCCATTTCCGAGCTGTTATCGAAAAATTCTTGACAGAAAAACGCAATAACAATTTTTGGCCCGACCCGGAACCTCATGATCTGCAATCGCCATTACGACAAAAAGACCAAAGACACCGATCAAATATTTTTACAGTAACTAATAGTGTCTCTCTTGCCGCTTTTGATCACATTGACTTTTTCCTCAGCTCCCGGAACCTATCGGCTACGCAGGAAATATTTACTCCACATGTGTACTCGTTAACTGGGACACTCAACTGTTCTAACCCATGTCCGACATAACAGTAAATAATACCTAGTAATAAATAAAGTCGGAGATAATCTAAGATACATGCAAATGTCTAAGACACGGAGACAATTGCACGTCGTTATGCCAAAAGGATCCAACACACAAAAGCAGTGTAGTAAAAAGACTATCGAGTTGTTGAAGTACTTTTGTAATTTTACATATATGTATATATAAATATAAACACTCACGCCTGCCACACAGAGGGTAGGCAAAGACCACGAATTTCCATTTGGCACAATCTTGACACAGCTCTCTCGCCTCCTGCACAACCATATACCTACGCATACATGCTCGTCGGTTAAGGGTACTCTCTTAATTTAGCCCATTTTCAATGTATCGCCAATTTATTCGATAAAATTTCGCCTGGTGCGTCCCTTCCCGACTCTGCCGTTCACTTCTACAACATAAATTTTACTTTCTCACTCTTTCCTCATTCATTCTTTCGACACGACCAAACCACCGAAGCATTCCTTTCTTTATCCTGGTCACAACATCATCTTACAAACCGCAATCTTCTCTTATCACACAATTTTTAATTTGTTGCTTACTGAAATCGCCTTTACTATTTGAGTTAGTGGGGCAATAAAGGGTTATTACGGAATTCATTTTGGATCCATGTTGATTCATTCCTTTTGAATGTAGACCAATAACGCAGCTAGACTTGAAACCAAACCATTTGCGTTTTGTACAAAAGTTAGGTTCAGCTAGGATTCGAACCTAAATCCATCGAATAGTGGTCTACCTGATTAAATTTAACATAAACATCAAGACTAGGGTGCGTTTGGCAGAAAAAAGCGCTAGCAAGCGCTTACAAGCGCTAAAATAGTTTTCGGCCAGGACACGATTGCTACTTCAGTAGCGCTGACACAATCCGCCATTTTGCTTATTTAATTTGTTTGTTTTGAAGTAGAGTTTGTAAGTTCTTTTGTGCAATATTAGTTTTAAGTAATATAATGACATGAATAAACATATACATGTTATTAAAAATTCATGATTGGTAAGTTTTTAATATGAATACTTTACAAACATATATTTAAATTAGGTTAGGTTCCCCGGTTAAAACTAACATCGTGTCCTAGAGGAAAATAGCTACTTACGCTTTGACAGCGCTTACCGCTTACGATCGCCATTTTGTTTACAAGCGCTTGCTAGCGCTTTTTTCTGCCAAACGCACCCATTTAAAGAAAACTACTTTTGTTTCAGTGATTGCATTAGTTCCAGCACTAGCATGGGCCATAGTTATGAGTTTGATGAACGACCACTCGTGCTGGATTGTGTACACGGTGGAGCACGTGCAGTGGACCTTGGACGCACCGAGGATTGCTATATTACTTATCAACACCGTCCTGTTCGTCGATATCTTGAGAGTATTGCTTACGAAATTACGAAATACCGAGAACTCGTATCAGCTGTAAGTGTAAAATTAAAAAATTAAAGTTACAGCCTATTCACGTTACATACGAGTACGAACAATTTCTTTGGCGTCAGGTATGCAAGCCGGGTTCGAACACCGCCGGCACACTGTGAAATTTTATGGCGAGCGCTTACTACCAAAAGTATTGGTAAAAAAATTGCAATGTAATAACAATAACATACAGCACAAACTTCCTCTAATTTTCTGAGAGGGTGTTCGGAAAGTGAAAAATCCACTACGCTGCACGAATTCCTGTTGGCGTCCCATGGCCTCGATCAATACAACACGTAACATAATTAACGCACTTTGAGAAAGTAGTTTGTTCAGAATCGTTTACTGAATTGATTCCTATCATTTTTAATATAGGTAATCTTTTAACCCAAAAAATAATTAAAACTACGTAAATTACAGTCACACTCTGTACAGTCAAAACAAACTGAAATGGACCGTAACTTAAGGCAATAAGACTTTTAAGAGTGCAGTTTTATTTGTATTATTACTAGTTCTGTCATTAAATAAAAATGAAGAAAAATGAACTTTATTTCAAGCACGTTAAAGTCTTTGCGTTTGTGGATTTGTACTGTGACCACAACATTCTTCCGGAATTAAGTATAACTAATTTGATAAATAATCAGTGCATAAAAATGTTTAACTATAAATTCTGTGTATGTATTATGATTATAACATAATATACTAATTGGGGTGTCTGAGGGTTTGCGTTAATTACGTTACATATTGTAGTATAGATCTAGAAGATCCATAGATCCAGAAGTCCATCTGAGTAAGAGTGTGGTACCACACTCTACTTATTTTTGCTGCCAAAAAGCAGTATTTTTATTTCTGTGTTCTGGTTTAAGGGGTATAGAGATCTATATAATTACAAGCTGAAAGACACTTTATCTTAAACCTCGGGGGTGATATCGCATTCTTTGATAATTGTAGCAATGCAATTTTATAAACAGTTTGTTTGCAAATAAAAATTGTTATATTTGATATAGTTCGATAATAAATTTACGATAAGGGGCTGGATAAGAACCTATCTTATATAGATATAGACCTATATATGGACTTTCCACTGACGAACCACCACCACTGACGCACCACACCAACGACGCTGACATTTTGAAATATTTTTGTGTTGATATATTTTTATACAAGTATGGGCATAACTATTAGTTAATATTTGCTTTGAGTGATAACGAACTCACTGTCCACCCGATTGTAAGTAGATACTGTGGTCCATTAGTACCTATACCTATCCTTGGTTTAGACCGTTGCTATATTCGTATTTTCGACTGCAGGAGAGGTTGACATTTTGAATAGCGTACCAAGGAATACCTACAAATTTTTAACTCTATTTATTTATTATTCATGTCTTTAATAGCTTGTTAAGTTTTAAAGGGACATGATTATTTATTTTATTTATATAAACGTTTATATTACTCATAAGCTTAAAAACACGCCTGAACAGATTTCATATCTAGATATAGAGCCCAATGACCTGGGATCAGGTTAATCATTCTGAGGGCTTAGAGCTGGAAGAATTTGCTGCGCCCCCCAATTGGCTGATCTTATACTTAAATCAAAGAAATATTTTTTTCTAGATAAGCGAGATTTCTCAGGATGATGACAAGTTCCTGCATCACTGAGCAAGGGTGGTAAATCAGCACTTGATCTTCTTGATTTCTTTTTATCGACTCTTGAAACAACGATTGAGGCGAGGTGGTGCATTATCTTACATCGTCAGTATATGACCATCTGTTCTGATTACGATATCCGATATTTTAATTAAACTTTTATCAATGTTGCTAATCGCGATTACTCCTAACAGCCTTCTTATTTTTCAGAAGTACAGCAAAGGCGACTTTATTCTTGATGCCTTTGTTCGGAACTCAGTTTCTGCTAACGGCGTTTAGACCAACTACAAGCGATTGCACTTGGGAACAGGTGTACTATTACGTTTCATACACCTTAGAGGGCCTGCAAGGATTTATCGTGGCCTTGCTTTACTGCTATGTGAACAAGGAGGTAAACAATCTTTAACATCGTATAAAACTAATTACATAATATGTAAGAGATATAAAGCAAAGTAAGATTTCATACTAATATATTTTAATCATATATGTTAAATTATTCTAAATATAATATATGTATATTACTAAAATCAATCACATCAATATGAACAAGTGTAAAAATCTTAAGTCTTTTCTTACGTGTTCTTCTGAATGGCTATTTTTAAAACTGTTTTAACTACTGCAAATAGTAAAGAAAACCATTCTTCCAATTATGGTTAGCCGTGGTAGTTCAGCGCACCCGGCGAATTTAAGAGTACGCGAGCAACCTGGGTTAGATCGCCGCCATAATTAATAGAATTGTTAATTGCAATTTTACGTGCTGATTTACCACGGTGAAGGAAAATATCGCGAGTAAACCTGCATATCCGAGGAATAACATATTTCGAGGACATGAAGTCCGTCAACATACACTGCAGGAGTACGCTGGACTAATCGCTCCATGACCCGTTGTCCAGCTGTGTCATATATTAGATATAAATTAATTTAACATTGACAACTATGGTTAGAAGACCACGTTTCACAACTGTTGTAATTAGGCCAACGAAATATCATTGTCATAAGATGGTATGCAACGAGAGGAGTGCACCCACTTATTTATACTTGAGTTCAAAATACTTTCACGGTCAGAGTTACCCTAGAAATTGTTGACCAACAAATATTTTATAAAATGTCAGCGCATAAAATTAAAATTGTTAATTAAAGTCTCACCTTCACCAGCCCTATGGAGTTTAGAAGTAAGGAGACTCTGTATTAAAAAGTGTCCATAGAAAACAGTTAAATAAGGTTGGCGCCACTATAGCTACGGGCAAAATTTTAAAGAACGCGCCGAAAATATTAGTGGGATAGACGACTTTTTCGAGGTTATATTTACATAATAAAATTGTTTTAGATTTTAGAGCTACTAAGCAGTTTAGCAGCACACTTCAAACCGGCGACAACTGCTAAGTTCATTTCATCCCAGTAGCTACTCCAGCGCTGTTGTGGAGAGATTTTGAACTGTTATTTACTGCTTACAGATGGCCACTTTTTCAACTACTACTATTGGGGTTGGTACTCCTTACTTCTACACTCCATAACCAGCCCGTAATAATCCAATAATGATATGTTCCTTGTCCATGGATCGCCTTCTATTCTACTTCTATCGTCTATATTAGTAGTACTATATTACTTCGATCGTCCTTGTCCATCGCCGCGGCGGTCTGGGTATTTTTACATCTGAAGTAAGGTAGACGTTTATATCGCCATCTGTCGGAAGACATTAAATATTTCTGGCATTCCCATCGTCGCCTTTTTCACACCCCGCGGGATGAAAATGCGATTATAGCTTTTCCATCTCACACCCACTAAACACGGCATTTCCTATACAACAAAATATATTTATCTGCGTTACACGTACCGATATATTATTTGGTGAAATAGTTTACACCCTTTTTTTTATTAATCTTTAATATAACTACTACTGTTTTTGCAGTACCCTTTTTACTTATATTTACTAAAATTAGTGTAATCTAAACAATTCTTTGCAATGTTTTTTTATATATTTTTTTTATTTTTTTAATATCTAAAATATACATCTATATTATTATATAATAACTCTGTTGATACATTATTCATATCCAATTTCTTATCTAGGTCGTCGACATAAAGATGAGATGCACTTATGCTAGATTTTAAATTTTTATTATATTACATATTATATACAGTAACTACAAATTTGCGATTTTGTACGTTGTACGTATACTGTATGTCTAAAATCTTAACCGCATTTTATTTCCTTTTTTCCTTTTTTTTACATAGTTTACACCCTTTTCCTGTTTGTTATTGTTGCCAGACATCGGCATTGGTGTTTCAACACGGACAGTAAGTTAGTAGCCTGATCTAGCGCTGGGTTAACGGACTTCACATGCCCTTGAATATTTTTTCTCAAGCACACAGATTTCTTCACGATGATGTTCACCTTCATCGAACGTGTGATGGTTAAAACATAACACTATTACACAATAACGTCTGTGGCGAGAACATTTTCTGATAATATTTTGATTGGGCGAATCACAAAGTAATTTCAAACCTTCTGATGTCTCATAATATGTCGCAATAGATAGGAAGCTGATAGCAAGCATAAAATAATCACGATCTTCGAATGAACATAATATATTATTACAATTTTTAATGAGTAAAAAATTGTGATAAATGGTCACTTTTGTATACAAGTGTATGAGTAGATCGTAAGTGGATGCTGTAGCCCATAGCCCATAGACACCTACATCTATCATCAATTAATGCTCAAAATGCAGATGAATTGTCACACTCGAATAAGTGACTAATATTTACACAACAGTAACAACAACAAATTAGAAGTCAATTATTTATTCTAAATATATAGGCATTTATTTAATATAATCTTATTAATTCAATAAGGAACTCGAGTTAAATATATCTTTTTATGTTAACTTGGACCTTCAATTACGAATACATATTCATATATGTATATATTTATAATAAAAATAATGTGCCCATTTTAGAGGTGACCTTTACATGCTTATATTAAAATAATCCAAAAACAATCAAAGAATAAGTTTGTTTCTACAATTAACCCTAATTATTAAGAGGAAAAGTATAATTATTTTATTATTGCAATATTCTTAACTGTATTTGCAGGTGCATGCTCTAGTTAAGGCGACGTACAAAAAAACAGAGAACGCAGTAAGCTCACGATTTCGCAGCTCTAGTAATCCTCGTACGAGCTTCGATCCGAATTCTAATAGAAGAATCACCTACAGCACCAACATACAATCACAAAACATTGACGATGCAAAAGAGCAATACACGTCGATGTCACCAAAACTTCACGTTGCTGAAATAATATCAATACAAGCCAGCGAGAGACTTGCAGAAATATTAGATCCAGTTTATGAAACTATTGACAACGGTTTAAGAAATGAAGGTTACGATTATCTTAGTAGATCAGATCCAGATAATGATTCGGGGATCATTCCTAACAGGAATTCTAATGCAAACTACGAACAGGGGTTCCCTAAAGATTCAAATGTTTCCGTGGGATGCCCAGATCGGATAAGACTGTCGTCACCTAGTAACATTAATTCCTTAAGTCAGCAAGATACAGAACAATTATCTAAATCTAACAACACAAAAGATGACATTACGAAAGATCAGAATGACGAAACAATGTCAGAAGCAACATTAAAAAATGAAAGTAATCAAACTCATGCTAGATCTAAAGAAAACGGCTCTCTCAAAGACCGTGGTAATGGAATTGAGTCGGAATATGAAGACTGTGAAAATATGCTTAGTGAGATAATGCATTACATTAAAAACATCGATAAAAGTGATGTAGTACTAGATCCAGAAGTTCTTAGTCCCAACAGAAACGACTAAAATAAAATTGTTTTTGTTGATGAATAGAAACAACAATAAATTGCAGCAATTGAATTTTTATTGTTTTATTGTATACTAGCTGCGCCCGAGACTTTGTTCGTGTGGAAATAAGTTCTATTTTGTTATGTTATGTTATGATGATTTATTTTTACTTTTAATCGCCAACAGTTGTGTAAAGTTTGTAATGGAAAAATTAATTAATGTTTTATATGAAATCGTCCCGTAAAATAAAAAGTGTCATACAAACTATACCTATCCCAATTTTACGCTTTTACGTCCAGCGGTTTTTACTTGGCGCAATAAAACCATATTTTTTCATACAAACTTTACACGCTCGTTTAATTTTTTTATAGGCCTACCCTACGTTACAAACGAGCACACAATCCACCTGATGGTAAGTGGTTGCTGCGGCCCATAGACATCTACATCTATCCCCGTTTGCAAATCAAAATGCAGATGCATTGTCACCCGTAAGGACTAAGATGGAATGCCTCGTTTCCAGTAAAAAGGGTCTCCGGTTCTCTACACTCACCATACGAAACACAGCAGCATTAAGTTACTATTTTAAGCAAGTATTCTGTGAGAACGTGGTCCTTCCCCGGTCGAGCCGACCCATTCGTGCCTCAACTATGCTACTAATGTAACTGCAGCATGGCTCTACCACGTATAAAATCTTTAAGGAAAATTAAAAAAAAAATGAAAAGCCATAAATATTTTATAATCTTTATTTAATTTGCACCAGTTTATAAATTAAAGAATTTTTTTTACAAGTTTGAACACCTCTAAGGAAAGATGAAAGAGAAGAGAAGACCGAAGAAGAGTGAATTATAGGTAATGATTAATGTTGTTTGATGTTCACCAGTTATTACAAAACAAATGTTTTACGTATACTGTGCCTTTTTATGTGTCTACTGCTGTATATTAATCAGAATATCAGTTAGTTGTACAAAATAAAACTAATAGCTTTGAGTTCAGCTAGACAAGTACAGTTCGGCTAGACGAGTTCCAGTTAATCGTTTGAAAAAATCGTTTCCCTGTCGATTAAATTCTAGACCCTTTCGAATATAGCTTACAAAAGTGAGCGTAACAGCAATCGCGTACGCAGTCGCACGCCGGATTTTTGCGCGACGCTCTCAAATTTGTTTCAATCTCATCATGGTATCGACAATATTAGTAGCGCTAGTTTGCCTTATAGTAGCCGCTGACTGTTTTCCCGACGGGGCTCCTATCGACGCGTGTGTGAAAAATCGTCCTAACCAACCGAACCACGGTCAACACAGGACGCAGCCATTGTCAACTCTACCTTATAGAGTGGAAGCTTCTTCAGCTCACTACACACCAAATTCACGCATAACGGGTTTGTAAATATTATATTATTTAAAATTGGTTAGAAAAAATTGCAGAACAGGAAAAATGGGTATTCCAAATTATAAGTACATATGATTTTTATCGAAACATAAAAATTTACGTAACTGATAGTCCACGTCCACGAAGATGCAAAACAGCCTGACCCAAATTATCTCATTTTTGTTATTAAAATAATAGAACTGATAAGATATAACATAATTTTTCGGGATATTTTTGCTTAAATGTAAATTTACACTATCATATTTATTCATTGTTATTTGCACTCAAAGCAATTTTTACGTGATGCTCTTTTGACTATATTGTGGCCTGGGTACTGAGCGTTGAGGACGAAAAAGAATCGTTGGTACATCACTCTTTTCGGGAAGAGAAAAGAAGAAGTACAGCGCTAATCCACTCTCAAGTAGCTAACGATTCAAACTTACTTATAACTTTATAAGATTGGTTTTAAGGTCTGGTCTCTTTTTATCAATGGTTAATTTTAGAAAGCGTAGGATCAGTCTATATTTATTGTAAAACTTAATCATCACTGCCTAAAGCATAGCAAAATTCAGTGAAATACGAACATTTGATACCACACAAAATAACTATAAATATTAATAGGTAATTCATTTAAAAATATAGATAACTAAATTACAATACCTTTAATTTTAATCTTTAATTAATTAAACAAGATTTTAACTAAGGAGGTACCACCCCGCCTGGATATTAGTGTTCTATGGGTCTCCGTCTTGTCTATTTCTAAGGCTAAATGGCAGTACTTGCACTGTTGAGTTCCCTTCTGAAGAGTAAAAAGAGCCAGTAATATAATTACAGGCATTCCATCTTCTTCTTGAGAGCAAACCAAATTCGATCCCCGCCGGCACCAATGAAATTGTTAATTGCAATTTTAAGTGTTGATTTACCACGTGCTCGACGGTGAAGGAAAACATCGTGAGGAAACCTGCATATCTGAGAAATAAGAAAAAAAATATTTCGATATGAAGTTCGCGAACACGCATTGGGGCAGCGCGGCGGTCTATACCTTCCCCTAAAACCCTGTCAGAAATGAGAGGGGGCCTGTGCCCAGGAGTAGGACGTATATAGGCTGTAACTTTAACTTTTTAACTTTATTCCATCTTAGTCCACAGATGTGACAACGTATCTTTGTCTTTTTTGTAGTGAGTTGGCGGTATGTGCCATTGGACTTCATCAGCCACTTATCCTCTTATCCTCAGGTGGACTGTAAATTTGTTAACCAGTTTTATTAAAAAAATACAATAATCTTATCATGAAACGATTATAACTTTATATCGGAGCTATTACTATTTCAAAGTAAGAACATAATTTATCAATTATTATGTGTTGGTTACTACATATTACTACCAAACTAATTGTTGTCATGAAACGATTATAACTTCATATCTGAGCTATTACTATTTCAAAGTAAGAACATAATTTATCAATTATTATGTGTTGGTTACTACATATTACTACCAAACTAATTATTGTCATGAAACGATTATAACTCATATGGAGCTATTACTATTTCAAAGTAAGAACATAATTTATCATTTTGTGTTGTTATATTTATACCAAATAATGTTTTCATGAAACGATTATAACTTCATATCTGAGCTATTAGGTACTATTTCAAAGTAAGAACGTAATTTTCAATTATTGTGTTGGTTACTACATATTACCCAAAATAATTGTTATTTTACTGGAGGCGAATTTGCGTCCACGAACCTAATTTTTAGTACCTGCTAGCTGAATTGTATTTAGATTCTTACCTATGAGATTATAATATTGCCGTGATTTGGTTTTTCCCTCATAAAATGGCGTAGAAAATGGTATAAAAACGAAACACACATTCACGTCCGCGGCACCTAAGGCCAGTGATTCCACTTACGATTTGGTTTTTACCCTAGTTTCCTTAGGAACTCCCATGCCCAAAATCCTTAAAACGTGTTCTAAATTCCTAAATTTAGAGTGTATAATTATAATAAAGAACAATATAATTGTAATTTCTTAGAAAACTGTTACGTATTTATATCAGATTTTTACCTGAATCGTGGAGGCAGCTTACTTAAATAAATTGAACGAGAAACATCTAACCTGGAACAATTATTTGTAATTATTTGTTTGGTGTGGGATGCGAAGCCGCGTTCCTTAGTGCTGCGACTCAATGATAAGCCGTTGTGCCTTGAAGCCATCCAAAAACATTATCACCATTATTACAGCCCTTCACAAGTTCACTGCTGAACATAGGCCTCCCCAAAGGTATGCATCCATACATCGACTTCCCGCATATTAAGATAGCTACGTCATTGCATCTAGTAGGGGGTCGCCTTACGAAGTGCTTATCGGTACGAGGATGCCACTTGACCCTTCTTCTCCATAGAAATTTCTGATTTGAGTCCGAGTCTAATTTTACATTTTTGAGAACACTGAATACTCTTTATACCTATCTCAGTATATAACAGCTCCGTGGCGTAGTAACTTAGCAATGAGAGTTACAGCGCTGAGGGTCGCGAGTTCGAATCCCGCACAGAACAAGTACCTATTTGTATGGCCTACAAGTAATTGTTTCGGGTCTGGATGTTTGTATTTGTGTAACTTATGTATGTTAACTGCCTCCAGAATACAGGAGAAAACCCTAGTGTGGGGGTAAGGTTTTAAAAATAAAAGTGTATATAAAAATATCACTCAACTCAAGTTCGATTTTTGTTTTCGTTTCGTTGTTCGTTTAATTGGTTAGCTTTTAAGCACATTTTATTTATCTAAAACCTTATTTAACTTATTTCAATAATTAAATTTTAAGTCAAATAAGTTGCTTCGTCATGACTTTTTTCCATTTTTAATTACCTATAGGTACTTACTCTCAAACAAATATCACATCCTGAAAAACAGACTAGCAGTTATATAATACGACTTAGTTCCCACGTCGTTCATAGCGACGGTAATAGCATATTAATTAATGTTTTTGGGAACCTCCCTTAATGTTCTTCTTCTTTTATTAAAATCTTCATAAATATCCTACCATAGATTAAAATCATACAAAAAGTACTGTTTTCTATAAACAGACATAGGCTATTGCCATAAATTTAACTAAATCGATGTCATAAGCCATACATTATCAGTCGTTTCGCGTAGAAGGGCGAAATTCCTAAACGTGTAAACACTTCCCGAAGTACCTGTGGCAGTAATTGAGTTTAAGCAATATAATGGATATTAAAAGCTGCAACATGCTCTTGTTAATACGATATGAAGATTATTGTAGCTGAGTGCTATTGAAACAACGTTGCAAATCTCCCAATGTCTGTTGCAAAATTGCAAAACCCATTAATCACATCACGGCTTCGCAAGTACATACCTATATCGTAATTTCGATTTAAAGTGCCTATAGTATTTTAGTCAGTTTTATTTTATTTGGAAGAGTTTCTTTGACTTTAATTAACTATTAAAATAAAATCCTTTCTAATGGAAACTTAGTTATAGCCAAAGACATTTAAGTAGTAGTAGTATATTTCTCTAATCTAATCTCTTTGGTTACAGTTTTTTTTATATATAATCTAATAGTTTGGTTATATATAATCATCGTAATGAGCGGTAAGTTTAATGTTAAAATATAAGGAATATATTAATTTGATCGG